GAGAAATTGCGGATACCTTTCAAAGTCACTTCCTATCAGTAGCTGATAGAATAGCTTCTAACTTCAAAAAGGAAGGGATAAGTGATACTAACTGCATGGATTACCTATATAGCACTTTCAAGAATCCATACCCAAATATAATATTCGATCATACGACGACTAAAGAAATTGAAAGTATAATTAAGTCACATAAGCCTAAAAATTCTTACGGATATGACGAAATCTCAGTAAAAATTCTAAAAATATGCTCTCCTTTCATCGCAACCCCCTTGAATTATATTTGTAATAGGGCTATATTATCTGGCACTTTTCCGTCATGTTTAAAATATTCTGTTATTAAACCTTTATTCAAAAAAGGTGGTAAAAAGATATAAAAAATTGTAGACCCATATCCTTGTTGACCTCCCTGTCTAAAGTATTTGAAAAAATGATATACATAAGACTTACCAATCATATAAAAATAATAATATACTATCTGTTGAGCAGTATGGATTTAGAAGTAAAGTCTTCAACAGAAAACCCTTCATTTAAATTGCTAAATGATGTTCTCCAGGCCTTGAACAATAAGTCAAATGTAGGAGGTTTATTTTGTGACCTTGAGAAGGCCTTTGATTGTGTCGATCATAACTTATTAATGGAAAAACTTATGGAATTGTAGATAATGCACATGCCTTAATTCAATCATATCTCAATGATAGATACCAAAGAGTCTGCATTGATGATGATGATCAAACATGTTCTCATACTTTTTCAGATTGGGGTAGGGCTAAGCGTGGTGTACCTCAAGATTCCATCCTTGGCCCAATCCTTTTTCTTTTTTACATAAATGATTTACCCAAAGTTGTAAATAATATTTCTAAGCCAGTTTTATTTGCCGATGATACTAGTATCATCGTCAGTAATCCCAATATAGTAAACTTTACAAACGATCTCACTCTTGTATTTGAACAATTGAACATATGGTTTAACTCTAACTTATTATCATTAAATTATAATAAAACACAATATGTGCAATTTCGAACCACCAATGCATTAACAACTCCTATAGATATTAGCTATAAAAATAAACATATTCCTAACGTTACAAACACTCAGTTTTTAGGTATCACTCTTGACAATTCCTTGTCATGGAAGGACCACATAGATGGACTTAAGGCTAAATTGTGCAAGGCATGCTACGCTATTAGATTCCTAAGACCCTTTGTATCTCAAGAATCTTTGAGAATGATTTACTTCTCGTATTTCCATGCAGTTATGTCATATGGTATAATTTTTGGGGGAATTTCTCACATAGTAGCAATGTATTTAAACTACAAAAGAGGGTTATAAGAATTATTACGAATTCTGGAAATAGGGACTCCTGCAGGGACCTGTTCAGAAAACTAGAAATATTGCCGTTCTATTCTCAGTATATTTTTTCATTATTAAAATTTGTAATTGATAATGCTTCTCTATTCAAAACAAACTCTGAGATTTATGATCTTAATACTAGAAATAAAAATAATTTTCACCTTTCACTACCAAGGTTGGCAATCTATAAAAATGGTTCTTATTATATGGCTATTAAAGCATTTAATCATCTACCTCCCTACATAAAGGAATTATCAGAGGATAGGATCCAATTTAAAAATGTCCTAAAAATTATCTTTTATTGAATTCCTTTTATTCATTGAAGGAGTTCTTTGATGGTGAAATTTGGTGTTAAGGATGACATTGACGCTTTCATCCTATGGATGGATCTATGGAATTGGAATTTTACCTGATATATAGAATGAATTAGATGAATATAATTTTATGTTTTGATGAAATATTACTATAAATTTTATATTATATAATGAATTTTTATAACTTTGACTCATGCCTTAGCATACAGCTTGTTTAAATTGTATCTGGTTTACTGTTATCAATTGTTGTATTGGAATATTGTCTTATCTCACATAATTTTGTCAATTTTATTAATGAAGTGAACCAGAATTAGAATTTTGATATTTATTGTATCCGATGTAAATTTGTTTATGTATGTCCGCTTTATGCTTTATAATTGTTTGCATGTGTGTTTGTTTTGTTTTTTGTTTTTGACATGTTTCAATTAATTATTTTAACTTAAATTTTGATCTTGTCACTCATTCTATATCCTATGGCTTGTATTATGCCTGTATCAGGATCAATTAGAAAGTGAAATAAATGAATGAATGAATATTTTAACTGCTGGATTTTAGGTTCTCACAGCGGCGACTGTGAAGAATACTATCTTGTGTGATTCGATGCCAGGCTACCACTTTATTTGGCATTATGTCCCAGAAGTTAGTCTCTTCAACATATTAATAAGTGATGCTGTGGTGTATAACGTTCTAAATGAGCACATTTTCACACCTGAAGAATTGAAAGTGTCTTACAGACAACATTTCTATAAATGAAAATCTGTATATAGTTTTATGTATATATAGATAGATAAATAGTGAAATAAATTGGAAGGTGTTAGCTGGATTGAAGTAGCTCAGAACACGGTGTATGGCAGGCTTGTGTGATGATTGTAATGAGTTGTCACATTTTTAACAGGTTTATCCATGCCCCCTGGAATTAGTCCATGAATAATTTCAATTTTTGGAATGACTGTTAGGTCTTCAAGAAATACTTTTGCTTTGCATTATTACTCGTATGTCACTGGACCATGTAGATTATGTAATGAGTTTTGTCTGTTAAAATCAGCCAGTTTGAGTGGCCTGGGGAGTGACATTGCCGATTTTAATTCCTCTGGGGATGAGGCGATGCTCTTGTAAGAAAGTATCTTCATATGCTTTGTATCTTAGACATATTGCAGCTGGACATAGTCATGTTGTGTTCCACATAAATTTCAGATTGAAGAAAGCAGTCTTCTGGAATGTGGTGCCGTGTAGATATTGTGTGAACTGACATTTTGGAGGAACGTATCACCTCCATCTTCAGGGTAGAAGAAAAAAAAAGAAAATCTGCGAGTGAGGAACCAGCATAAGCAGGTGCTAACCTGAATATGGAGGCAATGCATTCCTCCGAAACGTCGGTTAACACAATATCTACAGGGCGCCACATCTCAGAAGACTGCTTTCTTCATAGTCACTGCCGTGAAAACCTCAGATCTTACAAATTTCGAATTGTTAATGTAGGAAACCTTTTAAATCTTCTATAACCTGCAAACTTCGTTATTATTGTGTATGTTAATTAGGTAAACAGTTGAGTATTGTAATTTGGTACTTGATTGATGGATGAGCCCTAATGTGTGGTCTTCAGTTGTTTAAATTATCAACATCAGATGAACTTGAGAGTAAGTTGAGTGTTTCTGCAGGATGTACTCTTTATGCATCAATTGCTTCAGGTGGAGCATAAGGAACCCTGGCTTTACAAAATCATTTTTTTGGCATGCATCTAATTTATAAGGTCCTTGACTTCTACTTGACTTGCAGTTTGATATAACCCACCATTTTTGGCCATATGCTGCATTTGAGCTGTCCCATCAGTGCTTACGACTGCAGGTGTTCTGAAAGAATGGCCGCAGATCTTAGCTTATGTAATATCTTTTTGTATTAGCTCTCTGTTGTTTTGTCAGTGGATGTAAATTTTTGTCTCTGTTAGGCTGAAAGTGTTCTACCTGTTTTACTCCAGCATTTTGTTGTTTCAGAATTATATTCAAAGATGTTACAGACATTCCTTAACTGTGTCTCAGACATGCATAGGCCCAGTCCTTGTTTCTGTAAATCCTTTCAAACAGATGCCTTATTTTGGGGAGAAAGAAGTGGAAATCTATCAAGGAGCTGTAAGTATTTTATCAAGCTTCTTGAGCTTAGTAGAGAAAAAAAGTTTCCATATCAGGAAACTTCATACGGCATTGAAGCTGAGACAGCTGATGGAATGATGAAGAAAATGAGCCTGTATGTGCAGGAGACCTGCCACCTTATGGTGTACAATCTGTCGAAGCATCGTGAAGTTAGTTCACTCTCAGCACATATGACTGGGAGATGAGAAGAGAACACAATTTTAAGCTCAAGAGCCAGGAATGTCAGTTTATATAGAAGTTTTTAAGTCTGTAGACCATTTAGCCATTGAACAGAATTGTATGGCGAAGTTTATATCTAGCACTGACATCATCCAGTTCTTCATCTTAGAGGACATTCCTTAATCTTAATTTTTGCTTTGTGTCTAACTTTACTTTAGGATGTAAACTAGTTCTTGTACTATGGTAGCAAGGAATAGCTGGTAAAATATGTTGGAGGATATAAGTTTTATGGTTCATAAGGATACATGTTTTGGATAATCTTTCTCATAATCTGTGGACACATTGATTATGGAATTTAGAATGTTATTTGTAACCAGCCACAGATATGTATTTTATGCTAAATGATCTATCCTTATGTTGAAATAATGTCACTATTTCCAGGCACCATACGAGAATCCACCACATATATATGCTCTGGCAGATGATATGTATAGGAACTTGTTAATAGATAATGAAAGTCAGTGTGTAATAATCAGGTGAGTTGTTGCAATTATCATTCCAGTTTTAATTTAATATACCTCAGCACGTTAGGTACAGTTACCAGCATGAATTTGTGAACTTGACCTTGAGCACATTCAGGCATCATTTAGGCCTATACTCCGTTAGCTGTAAACATTATGCCTGTCCCCAGACACCATCATCCAATTTTATTCTTTTAATTTTTATGAGCCTTTTTTCATTAAAATTCCCAGATGAAAAACAAGTTAGTTTAATATGTATAGCATAGCCACAGAAAACATAATCGGGTATTAAGGTATATAAAAATTATACAGGGTAATTTATATAGAACCAGCCCGATGAAATGAGCTGTAATATAAAATATGCCATACAGATATTAAAGTAATTTACACATATCTTGGATTATGTGCCATTATCAGAGCAGGTGTTGAAAGTGTCCGCCGTTTTCAAGTAGGCATGCCTCCACCCGCGTTTGCATATTCGCTGTGACTTGCTGCAGTGTTTCTTCAGTGATGTTCCTGATTTCAGCCAAAATGTTGTCCTTTAAATCCTGTAACGTACACAGTTTGTTTGCATACACCCTGTCCTTCAGTAAACCCAAGAGAAAAAAATTCGGGCTGGTAAGGTTGGTGGATTTTTGAGGCCACATCTTTTTAGAGATGACACGATCGGGGAAGAAGCTCTCAATCAGTTCCATGGACATGTTGGATATGTGGCACGTCACTGAATCCTGCTAAAAATAACCATGTGTAAGATCCACATCATCCAGCTGCTGCATGAAATCGTAAAAAATATGGCAGAATAAGGTGTTGTCCACGGTCGTGTCAAAGGAGATTGGTCCAATGAATCGTAAACCAGAAATGGCGCACCACACACCCACTTTTTGTGGGTGTAGTGGTGATTCAGCAATCTCATGTGGGTTTTCAGATGCCCAGATCCTGGAATTTTGTGTGTTTACATATCCTGATAGAAGGAACCATGCTTCATCACTAAACCAAGTGATATCCAAAATTCTGGGGTTATCGTGCACGAATTCCCGAAACCATAAACAGTACCGTACCCGTTTATCTTTATCAACATCACCCAATTCCTGAACACTGGCCATCTTGTAGGGATGAAGATTCGCTTTCATTGTAGCCTGTTGACATGTTGAATAAGAACACCCAGTTTCCTGGCTTAGATGTCGTAATGATTTATTGGGAGACTGCAGTAACCTGTCCCGCACAATTGCAATCGTTTCTTCTGGCATTTCTGAGCGGTTTTTACCACATTCACTTGAAAGTGTCCCTGTCCTTTCCAATTATTGAGCCAAGACTGTATAGTCGATTTCGCTGGCTTCTTGCGAACTCCAAACTTCCTCCTGAATTCCATTTGTGTGTTCGCAATCGAGCCTGTCACCCAGTATGTGTGCACGAGAAACACTCGCTGTTCAACGGTGTACTCCATGACTGTTGCCTATACACTGCAGACACGTTTCGGGCTGTCCTTGACCTTGAAGCATAAGGGCTGCCACTTGCCGGATCATGCGCACACCATTCAACTCAGTATGGTCCACGGATTATTATGTCATAATTGTGAGCGGTTATATGCATCACCTGCTGAATTATTAGCAAATTCATCGGGCCGGTTCTATACGATTCACCCTGTATTAGAATTATTAAATAATGCCACTTGTAGGGGGGGAATGCGTGAAAAATATAATGGGTTCTAGATTGGACGATTGGATTTATTAGCACTTTGGTTACAATTTCTCTTGATTACAATCAATTACCAATTCCCCATGGAGGCCCTCTCACTTCTCTTCCTACTCTTATACAGCTGGGTTTACTTGACTGGACTCAGTCTGTTGCACCTGCTCACCCTGGTTCTCTCGCAGATTTCTTCTTGTCTTCTACCCTGAAGATTGAGCCAATACATTCCTCTGAAATGTTGGTTAATACTGTCACATGTTGGGTGTATAATGCGACAAGTAACTTCACGCCTTATCTGATATAGCGAATTTATTGAACACTCACTCTCACAATCACACAGTTTACAATCTCACAATTACTGCCATTGGCAGTATCACAAATACTTCTCCTGTAGTCACTGCCATGCACTTGATACAGTTCGTCTCGTCGACTGCTAGATTGCAACTGACTGGTTACTCGTTACTTACTAGTAACTAGCTCACTCATAACTGGCTCAATCCTCACTCACTGAATAGTGTTCGGTGCTCCTTATTTAGCCTCTGCATGGACAACACAGAAAACAGTTACGTGATAGGTACCGCTGTTGTGTGATGCCGTGTTTACAGGGTGCCTAGCAACACTGTCGAGAGTTGTTTACTGCTGTGTAGTAACTGCGGCAATGGTTGCCTGACACAGTTGCTCCTCTGTTACGTCATCGTGGGGGAGGGTGTGTTTACCGAGCGTTGTGCACTGATGGAAGGAGTGGGGGTATGTGACGTCACTTGCGAGACCGCAGAGTTCACGTGATCCCTACTTCCTGTTGCACCATCCATGTCACACTGCTCCCTTCTAAAGGTTGTTCGTCCCGAACAGCCTAACGGTACATCCCCGTTCCTTTTTCTTCTCATTGTCCATTCTCCAACCGCTTCATCCACTCTTTCTCTAAGACCAGCTCGTCTCGAGCGGTTTCCTGCTAACGTGCCAGAAGATCCAGTTGTATCACATTCACTCCTCACTTTCATCCATCGCACATTCACTCTCCCTGGGGAGGCTGCTGCTTCTACGTTACCGGCTCCTCCTCTCTCCGTTATTTTCTTTTCCATTTTGGGGGGGGGGCGACCCCACCATAGTGTCCAATCCTTGATCATGTCTTCCTTGAGAAGTTCCCTTTGTTGACGTAACAGTGTGGCCTACACTCGCTGACATTGTCATTCCTCCTGGTCTTCCCGCCACTTGCTTGTATGAGACCGTGGTGCAATTGTGCCCACTGCTGGTTTCTTTTCACTGCTACGGTCATCCCGCAATGGTTGAGACTTGTCATAAGGCTGCTTGCAGAGATGATGCAGACAATTGTTGACGGTCAATTCCTTTCTCCGGAATCCGAAGGTTCCCTGGGTAGTTTCCTTCTTGAAGGCATCTCTCCTGCGTTGTGCCACTGCTGCACGGTGGGTCATCCTTCCAGGATCGGCGAGACACATTTCTTCTGGCACCCATCCTGATTTGGGGTCCGTTCTCTCTTGGAGGCATCTCTCCTAGGTCATGCCACTGTTGCATGACGGGATACCTTCCTGCAGGCGGCAGCCAACTTCCTCCAGGATCCACAAATTCCTCGGGTCAGTTCCTTTGGCTCCTCGCATCACCCTGCAGCTTGCTCCTTGCCCCTATACCGCCTCTTCTATCCTTTGATTGGCTGCACAACGTCATCTTCCTTGGGGACTTTTTCTTTTTGTGTCACCTCAGGTTTCGTTTCCACCATTTTGTCTCGCATGGCGGCCGTCTTTGCTTCGATGGCTCTCATTTCTACTCAGAAGGCTTCTCTTTCTGCGACCATCTCTTCTCGCCAGGCTTTGTAGTTGGTGTCCATTTTCGCCAGCAGGCGTTCAGTCATTTCTTCCATCTCAATCATGTGGGAGTATAATAGTTGATGCACTTGTAAATTCGATTATTTGTCAGGGCATGTTCAAGTTCTTAAAGCACATCTGACACTAAATTGTCACGTGTTGGATGTATAATGCGACAAGTAACTTCACGCCTTATTTGATATAGCGAATTTATGAACACTCACTCTCACAGTTACACAATTACTGCCATCGGCAGTATCACAAATACTTCTCCTGTAGTCACTGCCATGCGCTCGATACAACTCAACTTGTCGACTGCTAGATTGCAACTGACTGGTTACTCGTTACTTACTAGTAACTCACTCACTCATAACTGGCTCAGTCCTCACTCACTGAATAGTGTTCGCTGCTCCTTATTTAACCTTGGCACGGACAACACAGAAAACAGTTACATGATAGTTACCGCTATTGCGTGATGCCGTGTTTACAGGTTGCCTAGCAACACTGTCGAGAGCTGTTTACTGCTGTGTAGTAACCGCGGTATCCCTTGTTACGTCACTGTGGCAATGGTTGCATGACACAGTTGCTCCTCTGTTATGTCACCACCCGGGAGGGTGTGTTTACCGAGTGTTGTGCACTGAAGGAAGGAGTGGGGGTATGTGATATCACTTGCGAGACCGCAGAGTTCACGTGACCCCTACTTCCCGTTGCGCCATCCATGTCACAATACAATATCTACATGGTGCCACATCCCAGAAGACTGCTTTCTTCAACCTTTAATAAGTTTTAAAGAAAAACATGTTGCATGTGAGATGGTGGAACCAATAAATATAACACTAAGTGATGTGCAGCAGGATGTTACAATATAATGCTGTTTCTCCTTTCTGCACAATGGTTTCCAATTTTCTGTCAGAGTAATTTTTTCCATGCAGATTTCTATAACCTGCTGCAACTTAAATGTTACATTGTTCATTTGTTCTTTTATTACTGACTACTTGTATATCACTTGAATTAGATTTCAGTTTGGATATTATGGTGGTAGTTGAAGCACTTGGTGGCCATGACACTGAAGAAATGGAATGTAAAATGCTCGTATCATGGATATGGATTTGAATTTGTTCTTCCAGTTGTGGCTTCAGTGTATTTGAAAAGAAAGAAATATCACATATATGCAATCAGTTGAACAAAAATGTGTTTTTTTTTCTAACTTGCTGTTTGTCAACTTTTGTTACCATGTGGCACATTGTCAGTAGCAACCACCGATTAAAGGGGAAGACTAGAAACTGCCAGCTGTTGAAGGATGGGCTTTGAGATTCATGCTGGTAGCTGTGCTGAACTCTGGCTTTCCTTGTGATGATATCTGAATGATGTTCTTTCCTTAAATTTTCCCTTATATGCATGGTGTTATCATAAAAAAAAAGGCTGAAGAGTTTTGTAATATGGTGATAATATTCTTCAACCTGTCATATAGCATACACCTAGAGAAGACTGAATAAGTTGTGCATATTTGAGCCTGTTTAGCATTCGTATAACAGTAAACTTCTTGGAAAAGTAATGTTTCATTTATATATGCTAACACAGCACCAACAAATGTAAATTAAATTAAATTGATCTTTCCCAACATAAAGTAACCTTTCACCAAAACCAGACTTATTGCATAACTACAGAAATTTGTCCAAATATGAATTAAACATGTTTGTTATTAACTTCACTAATATAACTACATGTGTGTATATCTATAAGCAGCATAGCTAAGGCATTGCATTGTAATGTTATACCAAAAGATAATCATGCGGTTCTTAGTAGAGAATAATTGTTAATTTATGTGTTGCTGAACTGCACAGTGTTTAATGTTTAAGCAGTGGCAGTATTCTTATGTGAATACACTTTGTGTACTTAGTGGTGAGTCTGGAGCTGGCAAGACAGTTGCAGCCAAATACATTATGTCATACATTGCAAGAATATCAGGAGGAGGTGCGAGAGTTCAGCATATAAAGGATGTTATCCTCGAGTCAAATCCATTATTGGAAGCATTTGGGAATGCCAAGACTGTACGCAATAATAACTCCAGCAGATTTGTAAGTGTTGTATTTACATGGATTTTTCATTAGTAATGCAGTTCAATACTTCATTTTATTCAGTTTCAGTAACACAACACAGTGAAACCTCGATCATCGGGTAGTACTTATACAATCGCTTTCAACTGTCTCTGCTGTTCCTCTACCACTGGCCATTGTTTACAACTGGGGGAAGGTTGTGTTGTTTACAATGTGGGTTTTTAATTATGGACTTAAATGTTGTAAATTAAAGAAACATTTGTCCTAATTTTGCGAAGGGTATGCGTTATTGCAGTACAAAAATCTTTCAATTCTGCATCAGCCTTCTTATAGCTACCTTTGTTTTAATTAACCCTTCCGCACCGACATCCGTGTGCTTCACCGACCCTTTAAATAATCGTATGCCACCGACATCTGTGCAGTTCACCGACCTGCGCAGTGTTAGCTTTGAAGGACGTTGCTGACAAAACGAGGAAAGATATTCCAATTTTCTTTTCAGGAGTACATAGACTAGGGTTTCATCTTTCTATTGGTATATGAGTTATTTATTTTGGACGAATTTTTAGCACGGTATTTTTATTTTGTATCGTTAGTGTAATAGTTCGTACTTTTGTCTCACTGCGCCTAGATTTCATTGAAATTTTTCAAATTCTAAGTAAGGAAAATGTATAAAACTATATATCTTTCGACTCTATGGTCTTTGCTTGTCTATATGAGTCACTCACTGAAACCCCAGACGAAGGTTTTCCTTGAATGGGTTGCTGTACAGTCTGCTGACACAATGAAGTAGTCAAACAAGAGGGTCCTTTTTTCTTGGAACCAAATGCAACCTAAGAAAATAAACTTACGAATGATACAGAAATCTATGATGTCATAACACTTTCTTCTCTCAGTCGCGCCATAACCATGGCCTCTACAAGTAGGAAAGTTTTACAGGGCGATGAACTAGAAGAGTTCCTTGCTCACGACTCGGAAGTTAGTGAGTTCGAATATTCGGATAGTAGTGAAAACAGTGATAATGAAATTGAAGATCAGGCTGTAGTTGATGCTATCCAAGATCTTAGTATTGAAGATGACGACGAAATAGTGGCGAGGGTTCCAGTGGCGGATTCAGACGAGAGTTATTTTTGGCAAAATATGGATAATTATGATGGCGTTCGCGAACGGTTTTCTGAAAATTCAGGCCCGAGAAATCAGTCTGTCAATGTGCTCGATATAGTACAGACATTTCTATTATTTTTTACTGAGGATTTTGTGAACAATATCGTTCAGGAAACAAACACTTATGCGCAACAATTTATATGTGGGAGGGTTTTTCCATTTAGATCTCCAGCTAGGCAGTGGGTACCAGTGACACTAAATGAAATGTATGTGGTCTTAGCCTTGTTCTTGCTGATGGGTATAGTCAATAAGCCAACTCTAAATTCATACTTTTCAACGAAAAGATTACTATACACTCCAGCATTTCCTGATGTAATTTCGAGAGACAGATTCCAGCTTATATGTAAATTTCTCCATTTCAATGACAATACTAAGAAAGATAATTACCTAGGACCTACAAGACTTTTCAAAATTTTTCCTGTCATTCAACATCTCAACGAAAAATTTCAGACACTCTTCTATCCTGGACAAAATATTTGTATTGATGAATCGCTTACACTATGGAAAGGGAGATTGGCATTCAAAATGTACTTGCCACTGAAAGCTTCAAAATTCGGCATAAAAACTTATGAACTCTGTGATTCCAAATCTGGGTATTTATGGTCATTTATTGTTTACACTGGCAGCGAAACCCAACTAAATTCTTCACTGATCAGAGAAAATACCAATAAAACAACATCTGTTGTTCTACATTTGGTCGAACCGCTCCTCCATAGAGGTCATACTCTATGGATGGATAATTATTACAATTCCCCCCAGTTAGCAAAATTATTAAAAAATCATGGCACTGACTGTGTTGGGACCCTTAGGTTGAACAGAAAGGGTGTCCCAACAACTGTAAAAAACACAAAGTTGAGAAAGGGCGAGATCATAGCTCAGCACGCAGGTCCTATAACTGTTCTCAAGTGGCAAGACAAAAAACCAGTTTCCGTGATCTCTACATTTCACAATGCCGACACACAGACAGATATAAAGAGAAACAAAGAAATAAAAAAACCAAAAATTATAATTGATTATAATGAAATGATGGGTGGCGTTGATTTGAAAGATCAGCTTTTACAGTACTACAACGTGGAAAGAAAAAGACTTCATAAGTGGTACATGAAACTCTTCAGACGCCTTTTGAATGCGACAGTGGTAAATGCCATGATAATTTATAACAAGAATCAGGAAAGACTGACAGACCACTTAGCATTCAGAGTAAATCTGGTAGAAGGGTTGCTGTTGAAGTTTACGGACCAGGAGCAGGCAGCACGTAGAGTACAAGGTCGACGTCATTCATCAGATAACACCATCCCCCGGCTTCGTGAAAGACATTTTATTAGTAAAATTCCCCCATCAGGAAAAAAGGCTAGACCACAAAGGCGATGTGTAGTGTGTACAAAAAACAAAAGAAGAAAAGAAACCGTGTACTGGTGCAGTGATTGTGATGTTGGGCTATGTATTGACCAGTGTTTTCAGGATTACCACACCAAACTCAACTTTTAGCAGTTCGAGTGAGTAAAAAAATATTATTTATCATAATTATATTGAAAAATATATATATAGTTTTGTTCTTCGTTTCTTTATGAATATTTCTGTGAAAATTTTATCTCAATATACCAATTTTTGCGAGAGTTACTAAATTTTTCATGGATAAGTGCATTTTTCTGTTTAATAATTAAATACCCCGTCGGTTTGGCGGTAGGAAATGATTTAAATACTATCCATCGCGGAAGGGTTAAGTTAAAATATTACTGTTAATAATAGCTCAGGACATATATGATTCCAGCTGTATATAAACTGTTATAAGAGTGAGTCATGTATTTGAAAATTATAGACTGAGTGAGTCTACTGTCTAATTTTTTTCACATCTGCACTTTATCAGGAATCTGATTGAACAGTATAGCGGTTAATGTCCAGGATGCATTGTCTTCTTGCTTACATAATATGGCCCAGTTTGATATAGCCCAGAGTATAGTAGAGCCACAGATAATTTATTACATTGATAAATTATTTTTACATTGTAATGTGACACATCACTGTGAGAACCATCATGTTGAAGGTATGCTTCAAATCAGATGCTCATTGAATAGTGTAATGTAGTTTGCTGGGTATGCCATATTTCAAATTTGTTTTATAAGTTCTGTAGATTTCTTGGTATGGTTCATGAAAAATATTTTAATTTAGAAGTTCCCCTTGTAGCAATTTGTTTGGTATGAAATTTGGGGAATGAAGGATAGAGAAATGTGGTTTTTCTGGAAATGAGGCACCCTGAGAAAGTCAGCATGACTCAGTTGCAGCGTTTTTCATTTGAAGAGAAAATATGTTCCATGATAAACACTTTTTAGGACACATTCATTGCACTTTTTAGGTCACTTAACAGCATACACAAGGAAACTTATTGTTCTTTCAGACACACAGCAAAATGTATCTTCTGCACATGGGCACTTGATGCTTTCATCTTCTTGCAACTTTATTCTAGACCATGCTGTGCAGATGTAAAATGTTGATTTATATAGGAATTCTTTGTTTTGTATCATAATGTACTCTTTGTTTGAGTCCTGAAAGTGGTAATGTATTGTGACATGTTGAGCTATGGATGACGCCCCCCCCCCGCCAGCTGTGATGCGCCGAGTGAAGCTGAAGTGAGCCGAAGTTAGCCGAGTCCTAGCATCCTGGTCGCTATGCAACGCGAGTCAACAGCGATGACGTCACCAAGGGTACCGTGGGTTGCTAGGCAGCGTGGGTAAACAGGATTGCGAGAGACGACGGTAGTAACAGCGGTTACTACCGCTAGCGTTGCTAGCAACACAGCGCCAGGCAACAAGGGTGCTTATTACGTGGCCGTTTTCTGTATTGTCCGATCGAGGCTACATGAGGAGCAGCGAAGGCTATTCACAGTTAGTACTCGAGCTACCTCCGAGTTAGTTCCGAGTTAGCCAGCAACCAGTCAGTTGTATTGTGGCATTTGGAGTGTACTATTTGTGATACTGCAGATAGCAGTAGTTCTAAAACTGTCAATTGTATGATTGTAAGTGCGAATGTGAAATAAAATTCACTATATCAAATACGGCGTGAAGTTATTTGTCGCGTTATACACCCAATACGCCACAGTATTGTGCATAATTTCTTTGTAAATTGGAGGGGCGTTTTTATGTTGTCTGTTTGATATTGCCACATCAGTGGCTGTCCGTACCCATATGTTAAGTAACTTGAGTGGGGGGTGATTAACATTGACAGAGGATGCTGATGAGTGCTGCTTATCTTAAAGCTTAGAAATTATACAGCATTTCAGAGGCAGTGGGATAAAACTATGTGCATAATTGTGTTTATAATTTATAAAACTTGAAGAGTGCATTACTAAGTATTTCAGTTTGGGTGAATATTGAGTATAATTTGATTTGTCTTATTCAGGTCCGTCACACTATTAATTACAGGGTGGATAATGTTCAGTCCTCAGGACTGAAGTGCTGTAAACTTGTATGTCACACTGGACTGAACATTATCCACTCTGTACTTGAGTATAATCTTTAGTGGCACAATCAGTTCTCCATATCTTCCAGCATAATACTTAATATTACATTGAATCAGTGTTTTGGAGTCAAAGAATTGTTAATATCTCTGGTGCATTTTGCTTGGATTTTATTTTCAGGGCAAATATGTAGAAATTCTATTTGGAAATGGAGGACAACCAGAAGGGGGTCGCATTTCAAACTTTTTACTAGAAAAATCGAGAGTGACTATGCAGAATCTTGGAGAAAGAAATTTCCATATATTCTATCAGCTTTGTACAGGTGCATCTGTTAATATGAAGAGTAAGTAATTCCTGAGCAGTACATGGTCTGACAATAAAGTTCTCAAACTCTTTGCAGTAAAAGTGCTACATACCTCATTGCTGAATATCCTTGTGGTTGCCTTCAAAGTACTTCTGTCCACTGCTGCCATAGCAGGCTCACGGGAGCTTGCAGACTTTATTGTCAGACCTCATATGCAGTGGAACTTCTGTTTAATGTTTCATATTTTAAGGCTTGCGCTCCTTTAAGATTCAATTTCAATGAGACAAAGTCATTTATTCTCAAGGATAACTTACTCCATTAAAAATTTTCATAGGTTTAGTGTTCAAGTCAATTGAACTCAAAGAAACCTTAAATGGATGTTTTTTAAATGTAAGATTTAGGTTCAAAATGAGAACGAATACCTCCACCCCAAAGGATACACAATGAAGCTTTGTAATGGTGCTTTGTATAGGGAATCTCAGATTATTCTGTTACTTATAAACACAGAATATCCGGATGAAAGGTGCCCAAAATAAAGTCATTATATCTCAGAAAGAATTTATTATACACATTAATTGGTTACACCATTACAAAAGGAAACTATCAAAGTTTTTTCTGCGTATAGTATAACTTTCTCGGTAAATTTAAATGTGGGCTCCCTTGGTGGCATGACAAATATCCAGGCTTGAAGTTTGGTGTTACCACAGCCACAGTGCCCCTTATGCGGGCTTCCAGGTGTTGAAGGTCGTTGATCTTAACCTGGTAGACAATATTCTTCACATAACCCAACAAGAAAAAATTCACTGGTGTTAATTCTGGTGACCTAGGAGGCCAAGTGATTGGTCCACATCTGCCAATTCATATCCCAGCCATCTCTCTGGCCAGATGATTCCTAACATGGTGAAAAAAATGTGGCAGCATATGCAGGTAAGCCGGGTATTCAGGGTTTTCCTTTCTGATGACATAAACCGGATGTGTGTATGACAGTTAGTTTGTGAGATATACATTTTTTATTTTGGGTAACTTTCATCTGGACATCCTATATTATGGCTCTGAAGTTTTGTGACGATGTTATATCAACATGGGGGTACTTTCCTTGGGTGTCTCCATTGTCTGAATATACAAGCCACAGCATTTCAGAGGCAGGCCAAATTTGGAGGGAAAGAGTGCCTGTGGTAGGGCCTCATTAGATAAAGCTATCACAAGGCACTCAAATAGGTGAGAAGCAGGTTTTGGATGCTAGAAGGAGCTGTAAACCTCAACAGGAAATTCATGTGGAATGTGGTGTTATGTCAAAGGAAAGTACTGGCATGACTTACAAAAACACCTCTAATTGTAAGTCGTGAAGAAACCTCAGGTGTTATTCAGTGGATTCAGATGGAATTGGTGGCGTGGTATCTTAGTCTTAGTTTCTTGAAGCTATTCTTAATAAAAATAATTAAACTTGGCATTCATTTTACAGAAGACTTTGGTTTATGCCAGTTAGACTACTACCATTATCTCAGCTATGGTGGTAGTCACAAAGTAGAGGGAACCAATGATGCCCATGATTTTCAAGAAACGCTGAAAGGTAGGTGATAGATGTCAGCCAATATTTATTATTTTGTTGAGCTCACCAAGGTAGGTGGGTAGCTCAGTTCATATAGTGACTGCATTACAAGGTGTGTCCGAGAAGTCATGAAATATATTTCTTTCCCGTGCGGAAAGTGCTGGAACCAGTTGGGTTAGGGGGGGAAGGGCCTTTAGCTTCACAGAGCGCCCAAGGTCAGTCTGCTTGAGCATTGGAGGCGTCAGTATCGCTGATTTAGTGCACCTGTGTTTTGTGACCATGTCACGGCGCACGATGGCGGATACTTTCGAACAGCGTTGGGCGGTCAAGTTCTGCACGAAGCTCAACAAAAAAGCTGCCGAAACTCACGAACTTCTTAAGCAAGCCTATGGGGAGTCTGCTCTATCATATGTGCAAGTTACAAGGTGGGTGAAGAAGTTTAAGGAGGGCCAGGAAGGAGTGGAAGATGACCCCCGCTCTGGACGGCCATCAGCAAGCCAAACCAATGAAAATGTGACTCGTGCGTGATTTGTTGAATACTGACAGTCGAATGACTGTCTGGTTGTTAGCTGACACTCTGAACATTCCAAAAACCGTTGTGCTAACTGGCGGCTGCGTCATGACATTGCGCCCAGCCACACGTCTCTGCTTGTCCGTTAGCTCCTGGCAAAGCACCATGTGGCAACGCTGTCGCAGCCACACTACAGCCCTGACCTAGCTCCGGCCGACTTCTTTTTGTTCCCAAGGATCAAGACTGCACTCAAAGGACGCCGTTTTGAAAGCATTCAGGCTATCCAAGCGGATAGCTTTCAGTGAGGTTCCCGTCGAGGCCTTTGAGGGGGCGTACCAGGCATGGGAGAGTCTGTGGGAAAAAAAAAATAAATAAAAAAAATATATATATATATTTCATGACTTTTGGGACACACCTTGTAGATGACTGGGGTTGAATTCCTAGCAAGAGTAGGTATTTATCTCTTTGACACCACATACACAAGAGTAGGTATTTATCTCTTTGCCATCACATACACATTGGCTTTGGGCCCATGTAACTGCTTTTCTAGTGGGTACCAGGAGTTATTTCCCTGGGTTTAGAGCAGCCTGGTCATGAAGCTGACCATATGCCACAGACTGATGCTGACATTAAGAATGCCAGGATGGTTTAGTCAGTATAGTGTCTAGAATGTGGGCTGGATGACCAGAGAATTGGAGGTTGATTGCCAATGGAGGTAGAGTTTCTTTTTGTCATTATATCCAGTCTGGCTCTGGGGTACACTCAGACTCCTACCTGTTGGATATCCAGGTGCCCCTTCCCAGGGTTGAAGCTGCCAGGATTGTGACATTAACCACTCACCTCCATCTAGTGCTGAAGGTTAAGAAATTATGGATCTATGTCTCTTCAAGAATGTCGAGGCATGTAGTGACCTGTAGTATCAGTCCCATACCTTTTTTACAACAAGACTGTTTTTTGAGAAACTGAACAGTGCTGTGGTGATGTTTTTATTGTTGGATCTATGAGTAAGTTATCATTATAATTGTATGATTACGTGTTACAGCAATGAATGTAATGGGTCTGACAGACCAGGAACAAAGCAACATCTTACAAGCAGTTGCAGGTATCCTCCATCTTGGTAATGTCATGTTTTTGGAGAAGGGCAACTATTCAGAGATACAAGATCAGAATGGTGGGTATATATATATAAGTAGAGTTGCTGAAATTAGTACTTCCTAATTTTCTCTTCTGAATCTCATCACTCAACCTTGTGAGGTAATCACAATAAGTGTTGCCATTTAGTTCATAATTTTTTATTTTCTTATTTTCTTCTCAGGAAAATATAAAATATGTTTAAAACTGCAATAAGTAGGATTTGGTATGGATGAATAAATTCATTCAGAAGGAGCATTTACTGTATGCATCATGCATGGAGGAAGGAACAGGTGTAGTACTAAACACAGAGACAGTCTTACCTTTCATTTTTGGAATTAGTGTATAAACGTTTGCAAAAATTGAAGCTTTTTCCAACAAGAACTTTCTGTTCCCTTGTTTCAGTAACATAACTTTTTAAATATTATCTACTAACAGTAACACTGTTTATGTGTAAGTGGGATTTGCTAGTGGGTTGGTTCTAATTGAAATAATTTTATTCATAAAAAAGCTAAACTTTACAGAAAAGTTTCACTGTGAATATGTTGCAGGAGATATATCTGTACTTATGCATCCCAGGCACAGGTTTTGATTCAATTCCATTCTGTTGCAGTAGACAGAAAAGTGCACAGAAAGTAAATGAGTTGGAAATATATGAGATTGAGGTTTTTACTGCATTGTGTGTTACATTAATAGTCTTAAGGCATGTGATGCCATGTATTTTGGTAGACAGGAATCAAAATTTTGGATGAACCTGCTGCCTCCATCTTCAAGGTTTATTCTTTTATCATGAAGATGAAGGGAGCAATTTCCTCAGAAACTTTGGTGCCTATTTGCTAAAACACGTAGTGTCCCATTTCACAGTTCAGAAGACTATGATCTTGATGTGGAGACTCTTCAAAGTAGTAGAATTTTAATGTGTATCTGTGGTAGAGGGGGCCCACGCGGTAGCATAATTGGTTGAGGGCTTATGCGGGTTCAAGTCCTGATGAGGTCATTGGATTTTTTTCAGTTGACCTAATCCTTGTAGCCGCACTAGGCCCTGGGGTTTACTCAGCCTCTAACAGAAATGAGTACCAGGAATTAAATAATTTTCCTGGGGACTAAAGCGCGGCCGGCACATAAGGCTGACAACCTTAACGCCATCTTTGAGCCGATTGTCTAGATAGTGTGGGACCCTCAATGTCTCACAACTCTATGGGCCTTCATGGCCTGGTACCTGGATATATTTACTTCTTTTTTTTCCTATGGTAGAGGCAAATGTCCGCAAGAAGGATGTGGTAGAATGCCCTACATTACTTATATTGTCATGCAGTACTGGCTAGACATGGCCTTGCACATGGCATGCACAAATGTTACTGTAGTGTAATGTAGATGGTATTTTTCTTTCAGCACTTGCATTTCCTTCATTCTTATTTGAGGTGGACCAGAATCATTTGCAAAGCAAACTGACTAGCCGAAGGTTTGACAGCAAGTGGGGAGCACAGTCAGATACAATTGATGTGACGCTCAATGTAGAGCAAGCTTTGTATACTAGAGATGCATTGGCTAAAGGCATCTATGCACGGTTGTTTGACTACCTTGTGAAAGTAAGTATCACATTATCACATGCAGCAGATGTTGAAGTACTGCTATCCAAATCAAGACTAGTTCTCCATCTAAGCTTTTCCTGAATTTTTGTGTCCCTCTATGCAGATTTTAGGACTTCATTAAATAGATCACTGGCCCAAAAACTGAGATCTGAACATATTTCTTGAAGGAATTTTGTAACATTGAAGCAATTACATAGATACCATGATGCGAGCAATGGCTTGATGATAACAGATATTAGATACAAATCAGCTTCCTTTGTTATCCCTCCTATACTGTTGTGATTATCTTTGAATATCTCATTTGATGCTACATATTCCCAGCAGACATGTGTCATCATGACCCAAATAATCACCCCACTAACTGAACAAACTGAGAAGTTATTTTGAAATGCATCATATTTATTTACTGTTTGCAATGGGTGGATACCTACTGTAAATTTCAGCTGATGCACTTCACTTTATGGTGTTTTTGCCTTACTTCAAAAATGATAGGGCAGTATCTGCTTCAGGCAGCACTGTGGCCCTTTGTGGTCCACCAAGCAGATTGGCATACCAATAGTGCTGGGATGTATCCCTCATATGACTGGCCAAACATAACAGAGGTCAACTGATATGGGTGCCAGGTCATGAGGGTATTGTTGGTAATGAAACTGCAGATCAGCTGGCAAGAACGGGATCTGAACAGCTGTTCATAGGACCTGAACCAGCTTGCGGCATCTCAGTAGGAGTTGCTGAGAAAGCGATCAGGGACTGGCCACACAGAAATCATAAAAAACACTGGGAATCTGTAACTGGACTCAAACTGGCAAAATTGCTGATACAAGGGTCCTCTGCCAGAAGAACAAAGTATCTGTTAAAATTAAAGAGGGACTAATTAAGATGGGTGGTAGTACAGGGTGATTCATATAGAACCAGCCCAACGAAATGAGCTGTAATATAAAATATACCATACAGATATTAAAGTAATTTACACATATCTTATCTTGGATTGTGTGCCGTGATCAGAGCAGGTGTTGAAAGTGCCTCCATCTGCGCTTGTATATTTGCCGTGATTCGCTGCAGCGTTTCTTCAGTGATGTTCCTGATTTCAGCTGAAATGTTGTCCTTTAAATCCTGTAACATATGCGGTTTGTTTGCATACACCCTGTCCTTCAGTAAACCCCAGAGAAAAAAATCCGGGCTGGTAAGGTGGGAGATTTTGGGGGCCACATCTTTTTAGAGATGATGCGATCAGGGAAGAAGCTCTCAATCAGTTCCATGGACATGTTGGACATGTGGCACATCGCTGAATCCTGCTGAAAATAACCCTTTGTAAGTTCCACATCATCCAGCTGCTGCACTAAATCGTAAAAAATATGGTAGTATAAGGTGCTGTCCATGGTCGTGTCGAAGAAGATCGGTCCAATGATTCGTAAACCAGAAATGCCGCACCACACACCCACTTTTTATGGGTGTAGTGGTGATTCAGCAATCTCATGTGGGTTTTCAGATGCCCAGATCCTGGAATTTTATGCATTTACATATCCTGATAGGTGAAACCATGCTTCATCACTAAACCAAGTGATATCCAAAATTCTGGGGTTATCGTGCATGAATTCCCGAAACCATAAACAGTACTGTACCCATTTATCTTTATCAACATCACCCAATTCCCGAACACTGGTGATCTGATAGGGATGAAGATTCGCCTTCTTTGCAACACGTTGACACGTTGAACAAGAATACCTGGCTTCCTGGCTTAGACGTCGTAATGATTTCTTGGGAGACTGCAGTAACCTGTCCCACACAATTGCAGTCGTTTCTTCTGGCATTTCTGAGCGGTTTTTACCACATTTTAAAAGTGTCCCTGTCCTTTCCAGTTTCTGAGCCAAGGACTGTATAGTCAATTTCACTGGCTTTTTGTGAACTCCAAACTTCCTCCTGAATTGCAATTGTGTGTTCGCAAGCAAGCCTGTCACCCAGTACGTGTGCACGAGAAACACTCACAGTTCGGAGCTAGTAGTCGTAGCGTGCGGACGCATATTGCTTGTCTCTGGCACGGTGCGGAGTTAAAGTGGAAACGTACGGAACAGTGCCCCAATCGTTACAAAGTTCAAGCGTCATCAATCCAGTGATCTTCATTATTGTGTGTCATAAAACAAGGCTGATAAACCAACACTTTCAATCCTTCTAGTCATAGCATCGAGGAGTTAAACCAATTAAACTAACTCATAATGTAAGATCGACACTTACTCAACAGACCGCGCCCTAAGCGGTACAAAAAGTGTACTGGTGACAACAATGTGCAAATTCGAAGTAATCAAGTGAGCACAGAACAACAATGAATCCACAACAACAAAACATGTATACGAACTCCTATCCTCCCCTTCCATTAGCGGCCTATCCAGGCCAGTTCTCGCAAATGATACAAAATACACCACAAATCATACAACCACAACATACGAGTTGCATTGGTAAGGTACCCCATCAACCACCATACGAACCGGCTCCTCAACTCGCCTTGCAGCAAATGCAGTATCAACCACTGCCTACTGTAGCAACTTACCTACCACAGCAGGGTCATAACCCCCAACAAATCATGAGAATGTCATCGACCAGTGAAGTTGAATCAGACGGCACGCAGGCAAAACAATAACATTTCATGGCAACAAACGACAAGTAAAAAACAGAAGAATATTACAAGAAAGGCAGCTATCCAAGAAGACAACAAAATAACCACCAACAACAGGTACAGCATATTGACGGTTGAAGAAAACAAATGCCAAAACGCAGATACTACTAAAAAGAAAATAAGCAAGCCTCCTCCAATATACATATATGGAGTAACAAACTACCCAGAAATGGTAAAACAATTGAGAAACTGCTTAGAAGACGAACAGTATACAACGACGAGTTTAGCAAATAACACCATTAAGATCAACTGCAACATTGCTGAAAATTATCGAAAACTAATTAGATACTTAAAGGAACAAAATATTATTTATCACAGCTACCAACTGAAAGAAGATCGTGCCTACAGAGTGGTTATCAAACATCTTCATAACTCCATCCCAACTGCAGAAATAGCATCTGAATTAAACAATCTAGGACACAAAGTGAGGAACATCATAAATGTCAGACATAGAGCTACCAAGCAACCCTTAAACCTCTTTTTCGTTGACCTTGAACCAGCAAACAACAACAAAGAAGTCTACAATATTGAAAGACTGCAAAATGTCAACATCAAAATAGAACCGCCTCATAAGACCAAAAATGGTATTGTGCAGTGTACGAGGTGTCAACTTTATGGTCATTCCAAGTCTTATTGCAACAGACCATTCGTGTGTGTGAAATGCGGAGGGCAGCACAGTACTGAAAGCTGTAAAAAATCCAAGGAAACACCAGCCACTTGTGCATTGTGTGGAGGAGGCCATCCCGCCAATTATAAAGGATGTGAGTACTATCACAGGCTAATCCAGTGAAAACAAACAATAAAGGTTAGAGCCACCAACCCATCAATCTCAAACAATGTAAATACCAGACCCAACATTTATATGGGCAGTTATCGAAACCAAAACAGAACATATAGTAATGCAGTTAATAACATAAACCCAAATAATGCCAATACACTAGAACCATCAAACAACACAGATGCTAATACACCAGAACCAACAAACAGTCCTCTAACACAATTTCTTAATGAATTTAAAGCCATGTTCAGTCAATTAATACAACAAAATAGCATGGTCATTAACATGCTAACAACACTAATTAGCAAACTAGTACACTAATGGCCAAGTTCCTAAGAATAGGGCTGTGGAACGCCAACGGCCTTGAACAACATAAAGAAGAAGTCAAAACGTTCCTAATAAACAATCACATAAATGTATTCTTCATTAGTGAAACCCACTTCACAGAAAGAACCTACTTCAAAATACCAAACTATGTAACATATAATACCAGTAATCCTGACGGCACCGCCCATGGCGGTACTGCGATTCTTATCAAAAGTACGATCCAACAGTACGAGATACCGAAATACCAGAAAAATTTCCTACAGTCCACCGCAATAAAAGTAACTACATTATCATATGAGCTGACAATTGCAGCAGTCTATTGTCCACCACGACACAATATTAAAATGAATCAATTCCAAGAATATTTCCAAACATTAGGCAATAAATTCATAGCTGGAGGAGATTATAATAGCAAACATACCAGGTGGGGTTCACGCCTGGCAACAACCAAAGGGAGAGAACTTCTAAAAACTTAGAACACAGTAGACATTCATACTTATCAACAGGCACCCCAATGTATTGGCCAACTGACCCACAAACAATTTCTGACCTACTAGACTTTTACGTTACAAATGGAATCAATTCAACATACACTGACGTCGTACCCAACAGTACTTTCCATAGTATACTACACAACAGCATCGACCTAAAAATTCGACTGAAGACGATAGAAGAAATCGAGTACACTACTGAAACATTCATAAACAAACTACAACAAGCTGCACAACAGTCAATGCCAGAACTTCATACACAGAAAATAAACCAAGACATACCGCTTGAAATTAAAAAACTAATAGCGGAAAAAAGGACAGCCAGATCAAGATGGCAATGAACCCACACACCAGCTGATAAATGGGCTTACAACCACACAAGTCATAAATTAAAAAACAAGCTCAAAAAAGTCAGGAGCGAAGAATTTGAGCAACACATAACGAAACTAAGTAGAACAGACAATTCGATATGGAAACCAATCAAGAACTCAAAAAAACCTAAAACTCCAACACCACCAATAAGAAAAAATACCAATGAACCATGGGCAAAAAGTGACGCTGAGAAAGCTAAACTTTTTGCAGAACACTTGGCTTCCGTATTCCAACCAACAGATACAGTAATCGACCAAGAAATAGAAAAAAGTCTATTAAACCACCTATAACACATACAACCATCAAAGCATTCACACAAAAAGAAATAGCTGATGAAATTAAGCTCCTAAACCCAAAAAAAGTCGCCTGGATTTGATCTGGTAATGGCCAAAATGATGAAAGAATTGCCTAGAAAAGGGACAGTGATGCTAACCTACATATACGCTATTCTACAACTAGGATACTGGCCAAAATGTCTCAAAAAGGCACAAATCATCATGATCGGTAAACCTGGAAAAGACCCGACAGATGTCTCCTCATACAGACCCATCAGTTTACTGCCAGTAACATCAAAACTACTTGAAAGACTGTTACTTCGCAGAATAAACGCAGATTTGCCTCCAAAAAACTGGATACCTGACCACCAGTTTGGGTTTCGCCAGAAACACGCCACCGTGCAACAAGCTCACAGAATTATACAAGCCATAAACAAAATGTTCGAACATGAGCAATACTGCAGTGGAGTATTCCTCGACACTAGTTAGACTTTCGACAAGGTCTGGCACCCTGGACTTATCTACAAAATCAAACATGTATTTCCACCGGCTTACTTCAATCTTCTAAAATCATACTTGAGTAGGAGAACCTTTCAAACCAAAGTAAATGAAGAGAAATCTGACTACTTTCCTATCGGTGCAGGAGTACCACAAGGCAGCGTCCTTGGACCACTGCTGTATGTCCTGTACACGTCAGATCTACCGATGGCACAAAATGTCCTAAGAGGGACATTCGCAGACGATACGGCCATCCTTACTAGCCACGCAGATCCTCAAATAGCCTCAACTACTACACAAAACTACTTAAATACTCTCCAACAGTGGTTAACAAAATGGAAAGTGAAAGTGAACGAGAATAAATCCGCACATATATCATTCACCCTCCGAAAAGAAATATGTCCAGCAGTCACAATAAACAACATACAGATACCATAAAAGCAAACAGTAAAATATCTAGGCCTACATTTGGATGCTAAACTGACATGGAAACATCTCACAAAAAAGGAAAAACAAATAAACAACAAGACAATGGAGCTACAGTGGTGACTGGGAAGAAATTCATGACTATCTACAGACAACAAACTTCTAATATATAAAACAATTACCAAACCAATCTGGACATATGGACTAGAATTATGGGGCTGTCAAATTGTTAATGCTTCGTGGTACGTAACAAATCATACACTACATGCAGATCTACAGGTACCAACCGTACAGGAAGCAATACGCAAGAAAGCCATCACACATCATAATTCCATAGAAAACCACCCCAATCAGCTCATGGAACAACTCCTGGAACCAGTAAGCAACAAAAGACTCAAAAAAACTGTGGCCAAGTGAACTACTCTTAAGTTAATGTATAGATACTAATTATAGATTATACAGGTGATTTCGCTGGATATCAACCTCTTCATGCCACTAGTCGTTAGTATATCTAATGAGTAATCAGCACTTTAGCTTATAGAATTATGTAATATTCTGATTGCTAAAATTTAAATAAATAAAAAAGAAAGGAGAAACACTCGCTGTTCAACAGTGTACTCCATGACTCACCTGCACACTGCAGACACGTTTCGGGATTGTCCTTGACCTTGCAGCATAAGGGCTGCCTCTTGCGGGATCATGCGCACACCATTCGACTCAGCAAGGCCCAATTGTGAGCGGTTATATGCATCACTGGAATTATTAGCAAATTCAACGGGCCGGTTCTATACGATTCACCCTGTACTATTAACAGGACACTGTCACCTAAAGGAACACCTTTTCAGACTGGGATTTACAGATGACCCCACTTGTGAAAGATGCCTAGAAGACGACGAATCAGCAACACATATCCTATGTGATTGTGAGGCTATAGCTTATTTAAGATTTTGTTACTGTGCTACAGGGCATGATTGATAGACTAATTGAAATTGGAAGGTGCTATGGCATGGAAATGAATGTGGAGAAAACAAAAGTAATGAAAATTTCGAGACAACCAACCCCAGTCACAATAAAGATAGACCAAAAACAAGTGGAGAATGTGAAATGTTTTAAATATTTGGGTAGCTTGTTAACAGATGATGGAAGGTGTACTTGTGAAATTAAATCCAGGATTGCCATGGCAAAAGCTGCATTTAGCAAGAAGAAGAATCTTTTTACCAGCAAATTGGACTTAAATTTGAGGAAGAAACTAGTGAAATGCTACATTTGGAGCATAGCTCTGTATGGGGCTGAAACATGGACACTTAGGGCAGTAGATCAGAAACATCTGGAAAGTTTCGAAATGTGGTGTTGGAGAAGAATGGAGAAGATCAGTTGGACCGATTATGTGAGAAATGAAGAAGTGTTAATTAGAGTCAGTGAGCAGAGGAATATCCTACATGAAATAAGAAAACGGAAGGCTAATTGGATTGGTCATGTTTTACGCAGAAACTGCCTTCTAAAAGAAGCTATCGAAGGAAAGATAGATGGGCGGATAGAAGTGACAAGAAGACGAGGAAGAAGACGTAAGAAGATGCTGGATGACCTTGGGGACAGAAGAGGATACTGTCATTTGAAGGAGAAAGCTCTAGATCGCATTAAGTGGAGGAATTGTTTTGAAAGAGACTGTGGACCTGTCGTCTTGACAGATTACTGATGATGATGATGATGATTTTTTTATGGAACCAAGTGACTATATGATACTGCCATAAACAAAATCTTACATTTCATTTGAAGTGTAGGATTGATAAAGGGTTAATCAAAAAGATGAAGCACAATAGATCATTGAAAGTTGCGGCACAAGGGCCTGATTATTATGAACCAGTCCTTATACCTTAGCTCGGTCGGTCGGTCGGTCGGTCGGTTGGTCGGTCCAGTCGGTCGGTCGGTCAGACCAGTTTTGAATCTTGGCTGATTTCCCGGCTGTTTGGGCAGACTTAGTGAAGATAGTGACTGGAACAGTTATACTAGAAGACTACCCTGAAAATGGTGGCATCAGATGCCTCTGTTGATTGGTACCTATCTTCTAAACTACATGGTGTCACATAATGTTATACTGTAGCATCCTGTTGCACTTTTCACTTAGTGTCGATTAGTTTTTACAGTCTCACATGCAACTCTATAAAATTTATTAAAAGTTTATCACTACATGTTTTGACCAATGTGGTCATGATCAATTCTTAAAATTATTTGGAGCAGAAACCTGCTGTCTTCTGTTGTTGCTTATGTTAATATGTAAGTCACCTCAATGCGCGCATGTGTTTGAGTTGGTAGGTTAGATTCTGTCCTGTTGTGTGTTGTGCTCTGTGCTCTTTTCTTAGAGTTTAAAATTTCAGCTGTCAGTCAGCATTCCACATATGTTCCATATACAGCAGACAACTCCCTTGCCATTTGATGTATGTATGTAATAGGCCCATCAGAAACTGCAGCACCGAGAGGCTTTATCTCATATTAACCGCTCTCTTTATTGTACACATCCTTTGACAACAATGAATAGTTTTAATATTAATCTCAGGAATAAATGGATTTTAAAGAAACAGGATTGAAGGGTGTGAATTGCATTCATTTGGCTCAGGATAGGGTGAACACCATAATGAACATTTGGGTTCCATATAAGGCAAACGGTTTTTTGACTAGGTGAGCAACAAATAGCTTTCAAGTCAAGGTCTGCTCCAGCAGGTTATTTTGTTAATATGAGAATGCTTCAAAGCATATTGTGAAATGGCACAACAAAACAAAAGTTCGTTTATGAAGAAATACAGAGAAGATTGAATTTGGGGAAGGCCTATTACTGTTTAGTTCAGAATTTTCAATTATCCTGTGTGCTGTCTAAAAAAGATAATGATTGAAAATATCTAAAACCAGTTTTACTTGTTGTGTTGTGGAGATATGGAATTTGGTGTCTCAAAGGGAAGAGCATGGAAATTGCACAGTGAGAAGCTTCATAATTCATGCTCTTCATCCAGTTATGCTGGGTAATCAAATACGGGAGGATGAAATGGTGGCGCCTGTAGCATGCATTGGAGGGATTAGAAATGCATATGAAGTTGTGGTTGGAAAATCTGAATGGAAGAGACCATGTGGAAGATCAAGGCAGAGATGGGAAGACTATTGAAACGGATCATGAGGGAACAGGATGTGAGGTTGTGGATTGGATTTTTTTTGTCTTATATTATGATCATGTGGTGGGTTCTTTAGAACTCTGTAATGAATCTTTGGGTTCCGTGCAGGGCAAGGAATCTCTTGACTAGCTGAGTGACTTAGCTTCTCAAGAAGAACTCTGCTTCATGGAGATAGTCAGTTATGTGTTCAGAATTTATTTTTGACTGTTATTTAATCTGTTTACAGCGGGTTAATGGTGCTATGGAAACGAATGCTCAGGGATATAACATTGGTATACTAGATATATATGGATTTGAAATCTTTGAGAAGAATGGCTTCGAGCAGTTCTGCATCAACTTTGTTAATGAGAAACTACAACAGATCTTCATTGAACTCACCCTCAAGGCCGAACAGGTAGGGTCTAACTCACTGCTTTTAATAATATTTTAGGAGAAGTTTCATGTTTATAGTATTGTTTAATCTTTGCCAAATGATGACATTTTCGTTTTACTCAAGGTGCAAAATGTATAGTAGAGTGAAACACNTGCAGCTGGACGAAACATACACGGCGAACCCCCCCAGACGATTTAAATCCCTGACGAAACATACACGACGAACCACGGCAACGGGTTAATTATGTAAACACTCATCTAAGTGGCAGGCATGCAGGTTTGCTGATTATATTGGAGCAGATGTGTTTCTTCATCATGTATGAATTATATTTAGCCGATTTTGAAGTGAGACTTTGAATGAATTTTCTAGTTTGCACTTCAGTCTGTTTGCCAGTGTGTTTTGCTAATTAATTGTATGTGGAAAATATACTAAGTAGCAGTAGTTTGCACCAAGAAAAAATAATATTTACTTTGTTCTTTGTAGTGAATTTAATACCTTGTAGTATGTTCCAGTGTAAAGTAGTGATAGAGATGTTCTCTCCGAGTGCACATGCACAGGATATTAATTTTGCTACATGTAAGACAGTTGTCCTTGTGTGCCTCTTTTTTTTTTTTTTTATAGAATTAAATGGCTGCTAAATTGAAAGGCTTTTACTGTGGGGTGTTTGTTCACTTCATGCATAAAAGGCCAAACTGGAAGACTTTATTTAAGGCACTTAGGGAAGTATGTGAACATAAGTTTGAAACAGATATGTGTTCTTGGTAACAGGTGATACAGTGATGCCAGAAACTTGCATTTCAAAATATAGTGGTTTCATGAAGGTCGTGCTATTGCCCATAAATGTAAGGTAACACTGGACATGATGCAGGGGCTTTCTTAGGGTAACCAGTTTCCAGAGGATCTGAATTATCCCTTGAACTTTCCAAATCTCATGCTGGCGGTTGTGTACCTGGGAGGCATTTGATAGGGAGGAGTGTTTATGGACTCTTTCAGGGAAGACATCACCACATGTAATGCAGCATATCACTGACACTGTTTGAAGTATATTTGAAAATCTAATTAGTTACTTGAAGTGCACTCTTAATGTAACCACTATTATCTTGAGTATGTCATATTGATCTTTATTGCTTTAGCCAAATTTTACAGGGTAAAAATTATTTATTGACGTTCTACAATGTTTGATATGCTTTTTATTTTGGTCTACTTTATGCTGTACCATACTGTGGTTATGAATGAAATGTCTGTGGAATTCAGATGAGCATTGAAGAAACAGAGTGTTTTGATACATTAGTGGTTTGTGTTATGTAAAAGATATTGCTCGGATCTTTTGACATGTGAACGAGAAACTTTGACATGGACTTAGAAAGATGACAAGCAGTGGAGATGAAGTTCTGTTTGGAAGTAGTATTATATTTTAGCGTCGTATTATGTGTGTAATGAAAATTTCGAGACAACCAACCCTGGTCACAATAAAGATAGACCAAAAACAACTGGAGAATGTGAAATGTTTTAAATATTTGGGTAGCTTGTTAACAGATGATGGAAGGTGTACTAGTGAAATTAAATCCAGGATTGCCATGGCAAAAGCTGCATTTAGCAAGAAGAAGAATCTTTTTACCAGCAAATTGGACTTAAATTTGAGGAAGAAACTAGTGAAATGCTACATTTGGAGCATAGCTCTGTATGGGGCTGAAACATGGACACTTAGGGCAGTAGATCAGAAACATCTGGAAAGTTTTGAAATGTGGTGTTGGAGAAGGATGGAGAAGATCAGTTGGACTGATTATGTAAGAAATGAAGAAGTGTTAATTAGAGTCAGTGAGCAGAGGAATATCCTACACGAAATAAGAAAACGGAAGGCTAATTGGATTGGTCATGTTTTACGCAGAAACTGCCTTCTAAAAGAAGTTATCGAAGGAAAGATAGAGGGGTGGATAGAAGTGACAAGAAGACGTAAGAAGATGCTGGATGACCTTGGGGACAGAAGAGGATACTGTCATTTGAAGGAGAAAGCTGTAGATCACATTAAGTGGAGGAATTATTTTGGAAGAGACTGTGGACTTGTTGTCTGACGGATTACTGATGATGATGATTATGTGTGCACTATTTATTATGTGTCCTGTTGACACATTCCTGTGCAAATTGAATAAATTTGTACTGTTTATACTGTTTTGTTAAGTGTTGGAAAATGAAGCTGAAAAGTTTAGGTACAGAAAGTAGTGCAGTTCATCAACTTGCGGGAACAACCATGTTGTGTGTTTAATGCTGTTGAGTGCTAGGTGTTTTACTGAAAGACAACTGTTAGTAGATATCTTTATAGATGACTCATTCATGTTAGTAATAGGTAAGAGGTAGAAGGTAACTGGTTCCTTGCCCTTGGATGGAAGATAAGGTGTATTCATGTAAAACTGCGACTTCTGTGTTGAGGGGGGGGGGGCGTGAGTGGGCCATCTGCTTTATTCCCAGGTGAAGGTCCCCATACCCATTTGATAAGAGGTTACATAGTTGCCCTAGCTGGTCTGGATGTGGTGGTATAGAGGAAAAATTCTTCTGTGCATGCTGTAATGAACCTTTGGGTTCCATAAAGCATGTGTTGAAGTTCTTGACCAGCTGAGCAACTACCAGTGTCTGAAGAAGGTATTTACTCTGTTGATGTAGGTGGCTGGAAAATAATTTCCTTGGTTGTTTCAAGGATGATATTGTCACATGCAGCGTGGTACGCATAACAAAAATGACGGGTTATAGTTTGGATGATTGGATTTATTAGCGCTTTGGTTACAAGTTTTCTTAAGCTCATTTAAATACAGTTCTGTTGCTGATTTACACACTCACTAACCCTCTCCTGGTACCACAACTAAAAATTCAGGAACTATAACAGTCTCACTGGATCACACACTCCAAGTCTTACACATGAATGAAGCCTTCTAGTTACACACCAGTCTTCACATGATGAACTTTCTGTGACTTGTCTTCCACCGAGAACTGAGAACTGAACTTGTAGCAGGGTACATCTTTAAGATAACTCCTTTTCATAGACCCTACAGAAAACACCGTCTCCCACTGGAGGAATCTTCTGCACTTTGTGGATATACTAATCAAGAAATTTTGTGTAAAAGGGTCCCTGTTAACAAGGAATCAATTTGGAATTTTTAAGGAATCATGTGAGTTTGAAATGAAGATAGAGAAGTACCTGTAACAGGGGTTATAATGAAAAATATGACAATAATTTTGATGAAAAACTAAAATAGGTGTTATTTAATAATGAATCATGTTACAGAATCTGTTCAAAGTGTCCACCTATGACTTGAATGGAGATTTGAGCATGGTGTGTTATTGAAGTGGTCAGTAACACTTGCATTTGTTGAAAGGTGGGGAATTTCTTGACTTTCTTCCAATGGTTTAGTTTGTTGACCCCACCTCCAGTAGTGTAACTTCATCCACTTTATCAGCTTTATCATACAGAGCAATGGTATGTGGTATCAAATAAAATATGAGGGTTGGAACTTTAATAGTGGCAACACTGCTGTAGAGACGCCATGCAACGGAACCAAACAATGTCGCTTATACCACACGTTAGTTACATACCTACCTTACCTCAGAGCAAATGGGACTCTCCCTTCCCACGTCACGCGCATGCACAGTCATGAGAAGAACAGAGCCTTGTGTTAGCTGGCGGTCTGATGTAGTGTTTTCACGATGTTTTTGAAACAGGAACAACGGAGTTGGATAAAGATTGAATGTGCCAGAGGCCTTACAGCACGACAGTGTCATCAAGGTCTTCAAGAGGCTTGCGGGGAATCTGCATTGCCTTACAGAACAGTGGCAAGGTGGGTAAATGCCTTCAACGAGGGACGCGAAAATGTGGCAGACATACGTTGGCCAGGTTGTCCTAGTGCCAGTGAAGAAGTGTATTCTCTTTCCGCGTTACTGGAGATTGATTGGTGGGGCTGGCAAGTGCTGTACCATCCACCATACTCCCCAGACTTAAGCCCTTGTGACTTTGACTTGATTCCTAAGAAGAAGGAACCACTTCGTGGCATTCGCTTCAGAACTGTTCCAGAGATTCTTCAGGCAGTAGACCGCTCCATTCGAACTGTCAACACAACAGGCGCTGCTAAAGGTATCCTACAACTTCCACATCACTGGCAACGGGTTGTACACAATGCTGGTGACTACATTGAAGGACAGTAAATCTTTGAAATGTGCATCTATTTTGTATCAGTTGTAAATAAATAGTTGCCATTGTTAAAGTTCCATCCCTCATACATAGTGGTCCTCTCACTGGAGGTTCCAGACCTCTGGCACTAATGCACATCTGGATGCAATTCCCCAAATTAGCAAGTGCACAGCTGTAACATGTCCACAGGAATTGGTGCGAGCCCCCATCCTCTGTTTCCTTTGAGGTCATCAATGGTGTGAGGCTTGTCAGTTTTAGTAGTCCTAGCAGGAAGATGTCTAGTAAGGTTAATGTGGAGACATTGTCAGTGAGAGTTCATTTGGGATAACCTAGCTTCCTGAAAAAGTTCTCAGTGTTTACCCAAGCTTGCATCTGACATATGGTATCTTGCCTCCTGTTGCTGGCATTAGACATGTGAATTTTGCCTCATCTTGCTGGCATTTGGTGCATGACATCTTGCCTTATTTTGCTCACAGTAACCAGTAGTTGAATCCTCATCAGTCAGTGGGTTTGCAGATGCATTGAAAATTGTGAGGTAAAATTCAGGCTTCACAGTGATCAAAGAAAGTAGGTTTCAGGAAATAGTGCACCACATCCAAATTTTCACGGAATATTCTGGTTTCTCATGGATTGCATATTGATTCTCGAGCGCCTCAGATATGTTATCTTTTTGTGTACCCATTGAAATGAAATAATGCTTCATGTGTAAACGAAGTGAGATTCAGAATCCCACGGTGTTACACTGTTAACTGTTAAAACCATATATAAAAGTGCTGAAGGCTTTCTTTATCCACTAGAAGTGGCCCTTGGTCATCAACACATGGAATGGTGCAGTTTTACTTTC